GTGTGTACATGTATGTTTATACGTACACATATACACACACACATATACTAAATCCATTGCCATCAAGCCAATTCTGACTCAGCGACCCTACAGAACAGAGTAGAACTGTGCTGTAGGGTTTACAAGGCAATAAATCTTTATAAAAGCAGTTAGTCTCATCATCCTCCTGTGGAGCAGCTGGTGGGTTCAATCTACTGACCTTTGGGTTAACAGCTCAGCACTTCAACCACTGCACCACCAGGGCTCCTCTCTCTCTCTCTTTCTCTCTCTATATGTATGTGTATATACATGTGTGTGTATGTATATATGTGTGTATATATGTGTATATATAGGGAGCTCTGGTGGCATAGTGCCTAAGACATGTGACTACTAACCAGAAGCCTGGCAGTTCAAACCCACCAGCCACTCCCTGGAAGGAAAACTGGGCAATCTACTTCCATAGTGACACCACCTCAGAAACCCAAGGAGGGGTCACTAAGAGTCAGATCTGACTTGCTGGCAGTGAGAGTACACACGTACATATGTGTGTATATATCTGTATATGTGTGTATATGTATATGTGTGTGTATATGTATATATCCATATTCATATCCACACACATATGTGCAGTCCCTGAGTGGTGCAAATGGTTAACACACGGGGCTGCTAACTGAAAGGCTGGCAGTTGGAGTCCACCCACAGGCACCTCAGAAGAAAAACTTGGCAATGTGCTTCCCAAAAAACCAGCCACTGAAGACCCTGTGGGGCCCAGCTTGACTCTCACTCACATGGGGTTGCCATGAGTCACAGTCACTCAGCAGCAGCTGGCTATTATACATAAACGTATGTGTGCATCTGTATGTGTATATAAACATACATGCCTATTATTAAATGTGTATACTTTATGTAACACCCCCGTCATCGAGCACATTAATGGACCTGCATTACACTGGGTGTAATACACGAACACCCACCTAAAACAGGACAAATTTGGCATGAATTAGCAGTGTGTCCATCCAGGTCAAGCTCTCTGTCTTCTGAGCTCCCTGGGTCCAGGCTGGTGGATGGGACGGTGGGTGCCTGCTCTGACAGCCCTGCCCCAAGGGCTTCCTGGCAATCAGACCCTGTCTGTGTGTCCCCACTGAGTCCTCAGGGCCACTCAGTGACATGTGCACTGTTTGCCCATTTTACAGATGAGGAAACTGAGATTCATGATGTTGAGTCACTGGCACCTACACCAGGGAACGCCTAATGCACTACGTTTTTTCGTCTTGTTTTTTTTTTTCAAATTAATTTTAATTACACAGGTTATATATACATGCATATACATGAATACATTCCCCATGTACAAATTGGGAATAAGATTGATGAAGCTAAAAAGCAAACACCTTTGGCACATCCACCCTTTTCTTTTGTACCTGGGTACTGAGCTGTAGGCAGGGCTGGCCACGGGCATGAGACCTAAGCCCAGGTTATGGGGCCCTCCCTCCAGGACTTTCCCTCACTCCAAGTTGCCCCAAACCCGCTGCCACCGACTCAATTCCAACTCATAGTGAA